ATATGTATATATATGTATATATATATATATATGTATATATATATGTATATATATATGTATGTATATATGTATATATATATGTATGTATATATATGTATATATATATGTATATATATATATGTATATATATATGTATATGTATATGTATATATGTATATGTATATATGTATATATATATGTATATATGTATATATGTATATATATATGTATATGTATATATGTATATGTATATGTATATATGTATATATATATGTATATGTATATGTATATGTATATGTATATATATATATATAGACACTATTTAATTAAGACCTATAACCAGGAATGATTGCGAAAAATATAACACTAAATCGTCGACCAGGAATTGAACCTACAGCCCTGTGCTTCCGGGGCAGCGCTCTAACCAACTGAGGTCCAGAATCGCAGGGCCATAGGTTTGATTACTGCCAGAGGACTTAGTTTTCACTTGGATTATTCACCAAACCAAGTATACATATTACACCCTGCATTACCTTGTACCAATATGAACCTGTAGTCTTTGTAATTCATGGTGATTATGACAATAAACTATGGAAATTATCTTATATATAAAGGATAAATCTTGTTATTTATGTAAAAAATTTCTGGTTTCTGATTGGCTAACAGCCAACTGTGAAATTGTCATATCAACTCAGTGGCGGCTAACCAAATATGGATTTTTCACATTCATATTAGCAAAATGATGTCAAAAGGCCGGTTTACACGACAAGCGTTTTGGGCACGGCACCCCTGAAAATGGGCACCGTGCCAAAACCGCCACCCCGCTATTTACTCGTTTACACGACAACGTTTTGTAAACACACTTTTATGATAGGCACCGTGCCCATCGGAAAACGGCACCTCTACTTTCCGTTTACGACGGTATATTTTAAAGAATAAATACGTCGGACAGAAATAGAATTATATATTTATATTTATTGGAACGAAGAAGAGTATTATATGAGCCGAAAATCGAGGGGAAAAACAATTCAATACTAGAAAAGTAGCCAGCTCATATGGGCAAAAGTTATCCCGGTTAGCGAGAAAACTTTTCGACAAGTTTACAAACGAGATCTTGCCTTGGTATGAAAATAATATGAAAAGTTACACTGCGTTCATATGAGACAAAAAGTTTTCCCGTGTACCGAGATCTCGCTTGTTGACAAGCCTGATTTCGGTGACCGGGATAATGTTTTTCCCACATGCATGAACACAACTTTACCGCTTAGCGGGATAACTTTCTGTCATATCAGCATCTTTTCAATTCAATTGATATTCAGTGCGTGCCCATCGGAAAACGGCACCTCTATTTTCCGTTTACGACGGTATATTTTAAAGAATAAATATGCCGGCCAGAAATAGAATTATATATTTATATTTATTGGAACGAAGAAGAATATTATATGAGCCGAAAATCGAGGGAAAAACCAATTCAATACTAGTTCATATGGGCAAAGTGATATGGACCAGTTCATATGGGCAAAAGTTATCCTGATTAGTGAAAAATCTTTTCGAAAAGTTTACAAGCGAGATCTCGCCTTGGAATGAAAGTAATATGAAAAGTTACTTTGCACTGCGTTCATATAAGACAAAACGTTTTCCCGTGTACGTACCGAGATCTCGCTTGTCAAGTGATAATGTTTTTCCCAGATGAACACAACTCTAGTTCCCGCTTGGCAGGATAGCTTTCTGTCGTGTCAGTAACTTTTCAATTCAATTGATATTCAGTGCTATGTCACAGCCGGAAACTTTACCTGGTAAGCGGAATAACGTTTCTCCATGCATGTGAACAGAACAAAAGTATATTTGGCTAGTCGAAACCTTTGCCTATATGAACAGGCCCTTAAAGACGAAAGGAGTTGTTTTCTCGCATAAATGTTGTGCCATCTTGTATTCACCCGCCACGAATTTGAGAGGTATGGACGCATCGAACGACAGCTATATTTGCTACGACCTAGTTACTGCTCTATTCAGCGACGAACAGTGGTATCAAAATTTCCAAGTCAACTAGAGCAACATTCACATTCTGTGTTAAATTTGTTTTTTAACTTTGTTTTTTTTTAAATTTTTGGCAAGTTGTAGTTTTTCGCCGCTTGCTGCCATGTTGGAAAGAGGACAACTTGTTTTGCGCATGCTCGATGTCGAACACATTTTTTATTTTTTTCGAAATTTGGGCACGGCACCCCTTGCTAGACGTGCCGAGACTACCTCGTGAGAAAGTCTCGGCACGTTTAAATTTTGCGGCACCGGTGCCGATTTTTGTCACGTTTACATGCAAAAAGGCAGAGGTGCCGTGCCTAAAATTTTGGGCACGGGTGCCCATTTTAGGGGTGCCGTGCCCAAAAACTCGAATATACTTATGGAATGCATTAGATTTCCATCGACCGATGATACGAATTTGCGAATCGGGCATCACCTGACTTGCCGCGTACGAGGCTGCACCAATACGAAAGCTATGCCCTTTGTAGCGAGCTGGGTCCAGACCACACAGTCGTATTGCTTCAGACAGCTGTAAAGCAAATGCCTCGCGAGCTACTGCTATTCCGCCGCGCGTGATAAAGATTGCACCCTTGGTGTCGCCCCGTAGGGCGAGATAGTCCAGGAGTAATTGAATAGGACAACAAGTACTTTACCGGTTAATTATCAATGTAAATGGACGTTGGTTGTAATTATGCTTGAAATCGTGAAAGGTTAATTTGATACCAACCACTCGGTTATTCGAGTCACAACTGAAAGCGAGATTGTGTAACTGTAATGGCTGGCAACCGGTATTCTTTGTTGTAGTAATTTCCCCAATCCTTAAGAATGCAAAGAATGCCAATGAGCACATCGCTTTGAATGGACATATTTGGTAATTAGAACCACTAATGCGAGGTGACACCTCTAGTAAGCTTCTCAGGTTGGGTAATGTTATTGGCAAACGACTATCTAGCCGTGCACCATTTTTGCCATAGCCTTTTAACATTTGCATGATATAGAATACTCGCGTGGGATCTGGTAATCCTGACAGTTTGTGCGAATAACTTAAAGCTGATATGTATGTATTAACCGTCGACGATGCATAATTTCGCTCGAATAAATATGCGATAAACAGCGCCATAGTAGCAGGCATTATCGGCAAGCTGAAACCAGCTATCTGAAACAACGTACTGTGGAATTGAGTAAACAGTTTCCAAGCTCTAGTGTAAGTAGGAATTGACGAGGGCTGCAAGCTAGATGTTGTCAAATGCGTAATTATATCGCCCAGCTTCGAGGCTGCAAGTGCAGGGGTATGTCCGTAGGCAATGGATTCATGTTCGCTGGTGCCAGTTGTTTGAAAGTTTGAACCTGCAATCGAGATAAGCTATCAGCTAACTTGTTATTAGTACCCGGAATATGTTTGGCCTTGAATGCAATGTTGTGTTCTAAGCAGACTAGGACCAACTTACGAACAAAAACCATTAAAATTTTATCCCGGCATGATTGTTTGTTAATAACATGAACTAGTGCTTCGTTATCGGTAAAAAATAAAATAGAATGATTTCGCATTTTGTTGCCCCATAGCCATAAACTGAGGACGATAGGATAGAACGCCAAAATAGCGATGTTACGATGCAACCAATGAACAGGCCATCGCCCATAGCACCAAGCATTGCCAAAAATCGCGCCGAAACCAATAGGGCCGGCCGCATCGGTAAATAACTTTAATTTAATCGAATTTTCCCAAATTTCGTTTCGAAAAAAATAAACTCCATTAAACGAAGATAAAAATGCTAACCAAACCCGTAAGTCGGCCTTAGCCTCAGAACGCAATCGTATAAAATGATGTGGATTTGTCACACCTTGCGTGAGATCATAAAAACGCCTGAGAAAGGCAGTACCGGGTGTTATAACGCTCGTCGCGAAATTTAGGAGCCCAATCAAAGATTGTAGCTCTCCCAGCTGTACTTTTTTGCGTTTCAAAAATGCTTCGATAGTTTCTACGCATTTAGCAATTTTATCTCTCGGTAGACGCGCTTCGGACTTAATAGAGTCCAACTCTATACCAGCTAAGGTTAGAGTAGTGGACGGGCCAAACGTTTTGTCTGGTGCTATAGGGATGCCAAGTTGGTTGCATAAACAAATAAAACGACTTAAATTCGATTCACACTGAATATATTTAGCAGAAACAAAAAGAAAATCATCTAATAAGTGGAGGAGCTCGTCGACTTCGAGCTTATGTCGAGCAATCCATTCAATAGCTGTGCTAAAAATTTCAAATGTCTTACACGAACTGGAACAACCCATTGGCATGCAGCGGTCGTAATAATATAGTCCCCGCCATTTCATCCCTAACAAAGGGTAGTCATTTGGTTGAATCGGTATGATTCTAAATGCGCTTTTGATATCAGTTTTGGCCAAATAACAGCCCGGTCCCGCGCGTTTGATAAGTCTTATAGCATTGGCGACCGTGGCATATTGAACATGTGTGTTCTCTGAAGCTATTCCATCATTTATCGAAATTCCTTTCGGAAAGGACAAGTGATGAATCAGCCTAAAATCACCTGGAATTTTCTTTGGAATTAGGCCAAGCGGTGAAACACAAAAAGAGTGAAATGGAGGAGACGTGAACGGACCGGCTATTCGGTTTGCAGCCAACTCTTGTTCCAGTTTCCTGTCTACATGTGTAGGATTTTGTAAAGCCGAAGGTAAATTTTTGGGTATAAAAAATGTCGATGCCCTTCGAAATGCAAGGGAAAACCGGCTGAAAAGCCGGAAATAATATATTTAACAATATCTGGCTGATAACCAGAAAGATACTTAACTAGAGGTTTGAGCTTGACTGGTGTTGGGAGACTTGGCTTGACGGACAGCACTGGCGTTTGATTTACTGGTTGAGTCACGAAAATTACACTGACTCACACGATGCATACCTTTGTTGCATTTAAAGCAAGTATGCTTAAAACCGCAACTGCCAGTTGCACAAAACTGACCGCGATGAAATTTGAAACAAAATCCTGAAGGCACTGAAGGGCCTACAGTTTTTGAAATTCCGCTCATTTGTTTATTTGGCGGCGGCGCTCTAACTGGGTATTGCGAACGCAACCACAGTTCACCGTGTATCGAACCCCAAGGGACCAGGCTCGCCTGCGTGCGTCGTAAATATCTAAAGTTTTCATCATAATAACGCTAGTTCTGACCGCGCACAGCCAAGTCCCGAATAGTTTGCCCATATTTCATGAGAGCGGGGGCCTCCTGTGGGTTTTTTTGCGTGTAAACGCCAACAAAAATATGAAAAGCCTGTTGCCAAACCTCGATGGAAGTGATTTTTTTAGTTCGCGACATTGGTTCGAGACAAAATGAAGCCGGGATTCCGGCGTCGGAATTTTGGACCGAAATCTGGTATTTTTCCTGCCCCGGATTGCTCAACAACGATCCAAAATCAACGAACTCCTCATTCCAAATTTTTTTCTTTAATTTTTGAGGAAATCTGAGAGTCAATCGGCAAACTCGCCGAAAGAACAATGTTGCTAGGAGTACTAACGCTAGGAGGAATTACATTAGTAGGCAATAACTGAGGCGCACCTGCTATCCTAGAGTGAGCCGCAGCTATCGCTCCCTCCACCAGAGTCGTGGCTGAACTTGCAGGCAATGGTGGCGCAGACAAACGACGCTCCTGTCGGGTGACCTCCGCTGCAACGGTAGACACTATTGATTGTACCAGTCCGGGATCGAGTTGCTGAACCGTGATAGGAGGCACATTGGACGGCGGTATACCACTGGAATCATCTTCGGCTGCCACAACTACAGTCGAACGGGACGCCAACGTCGAGTTCCTAGTCGATTGCCGACGGCTGCGTTGTGCTGATGGGTCTTCGTCTGCCGTTCGAAGGGCTCGCTTCCTCGCTTGCAACTTTTTAGGTGGCATTCTGAATATATAGTGAAAATAGTGAAAACAATTACTTCAATCTTCACGAGAAAATCGCAATGTATAAAAATTACTGCTGACAAGATTAATGACTTGCCTCGACAGCTGACTAGTATATATTTCGGAATTTTATTGTTGCATAGTTAAAAATACAAATGTTTCAACTATTTTGCAGTTTTGTACAAAATATATGAAAATAAAAATTTAAGAATATCCACAGGTGGCCCAGGCTCTGTGTGGGTATTTATTTATTTTATAATTTTATTATATTTTGCATTAAATATGACTTTAAATTATAAAGTGTAACTTACTTAGTTTCCTTCATGTATTAAGTGTGATTTGGGGGTGGTTTTAGTTTGATATAATGACATAAAAACATCATAACAATGCGATATAATATACTGGCTTTATACAGGGTGTATCAAAATAAACGCAATCCATCTTTTGTGCTTAATAACTTTCGATATACTATTTCTAGTTAAACGCTTTTAGGCTTACTTTAAAGCCTGTTCTTTTCTCTTTCAAACAAACTATTATTCTTGTCTCCAATGCTAGTAATAATTACACAGGAAAAGATTTAGTAAAACCTATCGTTTTTAGTTGCTGTTTAATTATGCAAGTTTACTATGTTATTGTTTAGTTGGTTTAAATGTTATAATTTTCTTCTTTAAACTTTAATATTGTCGTCACTACATCTGGAAAACCACGTAAGAACAAATTAAAAGTATTTTAAAAGAGACCAGGTTGTTTGAAAATCCTAAACGAATGCTAAAAATCGTCAAAACATTCTGGTGTCTGAGCCAGAGTGTCATCGAATTGCGATGTAATGTAAACAGAAATTATAGCAAGCTGATGTCAGTCAGCTTAGATGGTCCAAGCCAAAATTATATCGCATTTGAAGTTTCAAACTGAGTTAAAAATAGTGGAAGAAAACCGTAATTATACTTATTGTTACAATTCATTTAATAAAATGCAACATTTTTTTGTTTTGATGAAAAAAATCAGTTATTTTCATGAGAACGATTTGTTATTCCATCTCAATTTTTTTAATCTCCAATCGCAATAACGTAAAGTATTATTACCCGCGAACCAATGAGTCAAATTTAAGAAACAACCCACTGTTAGAAAGCTGAGTGGCTACGCTTTAAAATGAATGTAAACGTTAACGTTTTCGTCTATTATTTGTTTAGCAATTTACATTTCAGTCGAGGATTGCGCTTTTTTTGATACACCCTGTATATTATAAAATATTGTTAAAAAAAGCCCAAATACACACTTGATTCGAAATATTGGTGGACTTACTTGTTTACTGTGTCATTTACTTCACACTCGTCGATTTTCAGACTATTCCGTTGAACACGATAATAGATCGTGCACGATTGTGCACGATAATAGATCAGGAGGGTTGAGGAGAAATATTTTAACAAGCGGCGCGGTTACAAAATTTGAAAAATTCAAATTTTAACGGTTTGGTTCCAGAGCAGATCGACTCACGAGTGCGGAGAAAGTGCTTTTGTTTACATTAATTCTAATTCTTTCTTTCTAAGTTCTAATTCTTCAAGGAAAAGCGAAGGAAAGGATTTTACACGTTAGGAAGATTGAATAAACATAAATATGTGTAGCCGCTGCTTTAGAAGCGTTTGGAAATATTTTAACGGCGAGTTTTGTTGAGATTTATGTCTCGCCCAAGTTCGCCCGGCGTTACAGCTACCTACCTTTGCGTTATTGATAGTGGGTAATATTGGCCGATGGATAATATCGGCCGTGTTCAACGGAATAACCTGAAAATCGACGAGTGTGAAGTAAATGACACAGTAAACAAGTACGTCCGCCAATATTTCGAATCAAGTGTGTATTTAGGCTTTTTCTTTACAATATTTTACAATATATAAAGCCAGTCTATTATTATTATTATTATTATTATTATTATTATTATTATAAAAAAAAAACGATTTGCAGCTACAAAGCTGAATTGCTCGGTTTACATAATGTTCTAAAAATACAGTTTATAAAATTACAAGTTAAAGACTAATAATTAAGATATGATTATATATTATATAGTTTATTAAGACGTATAGGTATTAAAAGATACTACACTACTTGGTATATAACTATTTTTAAAACGGTTGGTACAAGACCAAATGTGTGTAAAATTGTCGTTATTTCTAAGATTGTTAGTACGTTTGTCAGGGAGAAGATAGTACAATTTATGACTTGGTTTAGTCATTCTTTTAAGGTGTGATCTGCAAAGTTCATCTCGTCTTTGTGAAAGATTTGGAAGCGGAATAACCTCCAAGGCCTTCCTGTAAGATAGATCAGGATAAATTATTCTTAGTGCTCGCTTTTGGACCCGCTTGACGTCATCAGAAAGGTATTGGGAAGCACCAAAGTTCCATAATTGGCAACCGTATTCGAGGACTGATCTTATGCAGGTAGTATAGACGGTTAAAAGGGATGTATGATCAAGTCCAGCCCGTTTTAATATGCGTAAAAAATATAGGCGCTTAGAAGCCTTGGATACAATATAGTTTATGTGTGTGTTCCATTTCAAGTCTGTGGAAATATAAGTGCCTAGGATTTTTGCTGAAGATACAGGAACTAGTTTGTGATTGTTTACGAAGATTGGGCCAGTTTTGGAGGATCTTTCGCAAACGAGATGATCATATCTTTACACTTAGATTGATTAAGTTTCATGTCATTCTTTATACACCAGCTGTTTATCGCATTAACAAGGGATTGCATCTTCCCTTGCTCACCTTTATTAATAACTTCAGAGACACTTGTATCATCCACAAATTTCCACCTTCGATCATGCTCAGTAACCAAGTCATTTATCATAATTAAGAAGAGTATAGGACCGAGCACTGTTCCTTGGGGTACCCCACCGTTTACTGCAGACCAATCTGAAAATACGTTACCCATTTTAATCCGCTGTCTCCTTCCGGACAAAAAGTCAATTACCCAATTGATAACGGATGGGTTTATATCCAATTTGCGCATCTTTGTGATTAGTATCTTATAGTTAATCCGATCGAAAGCCTTGCTGAAGTCCAGTAGGAATAAACGCACAGTTTTACCATTTCCATCTGAGTCAGCGTATAGGGAGTGGAGTAAGCTAATTAAGGCATCAACTGAAGAGGAGCCGGGAATTGCTCCGAACTGTTTTGGATCGAGTTTCTGGCAGATGCTATCACGGATCCATTCTGCATTAAATGACTCTAAAACTTTAGATAACGTAGCGGTGAGAGATATTGGTCTGAGGTCATTGTTAATATCCTGTACTGGGTGGGTCTTTGGAATAGGGATAATGTCAGCCGCTTTCCATTGTGAAGGTACTTGAGCTTGGGCAATGGAGGCATTAAAGATAGATGCCACTGGTGTAGCAAGTTCAGCCGAGAATTCTTTTAGTAGCCAATTAGGTATACTATCAGGGCCTGGCGCTTTTGATATTTTAACTTTTTCTAAGCGACGTTCAATTAGTTCTACTGGGATGTGGTATTCGCAAGGCGCTATAAGGAATTGTTTATCGAATTCGGAAAGAGGAGGCATAGACTTGTTAACAGCAACAAATGATTCATTGATAGCGTTTGCTAGGTTTTTACCTTCTAATATTCGGTTGTCATTGATCACAGAATGAAAGGACTTATCTGAAGTGTAGCCTGCCAGATTTTTTACGGCTTTCCACCATTTCGATGGATCAGCGGTTTTAAGATGTTTAACCTGAGTTTGAAAATAGGAAGGTTTTGCTTGTTTTATTGCTCTGCGGACATCATTTCTACGTTGATTATACAAATTACGATTTCCTGCAGCTAATGCATGTTGTCTGTCTGATATAAGCTTTTTTAAATCCGGAGTGATCCATGGTTTATCCCTACAATGAACTTTAACCTTTTTCTTTGGCAGGAAGGTATCTAGTCCTAACATAAGTAGGTTGTAGAAAAGGTCGCATTTATCTTGGCAAGAAGGTAAGCGGTAAAGGTGACTCCAGTCCAATGACTTGACGAATTTTCCAAGTGATGTTATGCTAGACGGTTTTGTTTTACGTACAGTTTTCTTAATAATATTATTGGGTAGTTTAGCTTGAACAGCAGGAGTAGCAAGAACGGACAGGTGGTCAGACAAGCCAATTGCTGGTAAGATTTCAGGTTCGTTGTACCACTTGTGCATATTGGTTAAGATCAAATCTAAAATGGCTGATTGCCTGGTAGGTTTCTTAACAGTTTGTTTCAAGAAGGAATGGCGGCATAATGTTTTGTAGTCAAAATGATTAAAATCACCCAATATCATAATTCCTGCGTTAGGATGCTCTAATAATAGTTTATCTACCGTGGAAATAAGGTAATCTTGCAGGATATTGTTGTCTGCTAGTGGTGGATGGCAAATCACGCCAACAAAGATGCAGGATAGTTCGCGAGGTAGTCGGTAAGGTCTGAGTTTTAACCACACACCTTCGACGTCGGGGACACTAAAATTAGGAAGGGTGGAAAAGGGTATATTGGACTTAATAAAAGCGCACACTCCTCCGCCCCGTTTGCCATTTTCACGATCATTTCGAACAATAGAGTAGCCTGGGAGGGATATTGGATCATCGGTGATTCTAGAATTTAACCAAGTTTCTGTTATGGCGATTACATCTACGTTATTTTGTTGGGTGACAGTTTGCAAATCATCAATCTTAGCATTTAAGGATCTTACGTTGGAGTGAAAGATGTTGGTAAACAGCTAAAGGTTGGTAAGCGGTTATGTGCCTGAGTCCCAGGAATGGCTCTCTTGGTTTGAATCTGTATCAGATTATTTCTATTTACACAATGTTTTTGATTTGAAATGTTGCTTTTCACTTTTCGAGGACGATTTAGAACACGCATTGTTATGATGTTTTTATGTCATTATATCAAACTAAAACCACCCCCAAATCACACTTAATACATAAAGGAAACTAGTAAGTTATACTTTATAATTTAAAGTCATATTCAATGCAAAATATAATAAAATTAAAAAATAAATAAATACCCACACGGAGCCTGGGCCACCTGTGGAATATCGTGTTGTCATGGCAACACTTGAGCGCGAGCCTGCGTTCAGTGCTGGTCATTTCTGAATACTTCATGTTTAATGTATGGAAATATTGGTGAGGGGTTACTGCATGCATGTATTTCTAGTATGTATAATAAATTCGTATTTGACATTGTGTTTGTTACAGGGTTCTCCTGAATTATCGTCCAGCTATAAATCTTGATGCATTTTGTTTTTGTGACGATATTTTAAAACATGCGTAGACCCTCGAGACGTGCACTGTGTTACATTAATTAATTTAGAAAGGAAACAAACGAACACAGTTGATCGAAATGAGGAAATTTCGTCCGTTGCGGCACATGAGCTGGCATAAACATTAGCGGGAACAGCAAATGGCAAGACCGATTTTTCTTGAGCCTTGGCATAATTTTCGTTCGATTTCTGCGTGTCATATTTTCTTTCATATGACACATACAGGAATAATTAAGCATTCTAGGTATAAAACAACAAGCCCATTTACTTTTTATTGCTTTATAGCGTAAAATTTTTCTTCGCCTGACGTTTGTCGTTGAACGCGAAGCTTAGCTTCTATTGATGGGTTTTCCCTACGTAACTTTCAATCTTTATTAAAACGTTCTTAAAATAAAACGTTCTTATATATACAGTAAATGTTTGCTTAATACAAATGCTTACAGTATTAATATTTATATATGCCAAAGGCACCAATAACTGTACACATGCTATAGTGTAATAATACAAACGTTGTTAAATCGATAGAACAGTAGAATTATCAGCAACACAAAAACATATATGACTGGTAATTGACAATACTAAGCAGTGTAATTACTGTTCGCTTCGATGTTCATATGAAAACTATATATAAGGCTGTTCTTTTTAACGTTTATATAAAACCACAGTAAAAAACTATTCACTGACTATAATTCTGAAACATCCTGTCAAATAGGGTAAATTACTATCCGTATTTACTGACTAAACTTAAATAATCAAATTTGCACTGGTTTTCCCCCGACAACATTTGTGAATTGTTTTGATTCAAATTATTACAGTACTGTTCCAGGTACTGTCACACCTCCCAGTGGAGAAAAATTTGAAATGTTTGTTGATACTCGTTGTCCAGTCAGAGTTGAGTGTATTTTGAGTTGTTCAATGACTTCGCTTTTTGTCCAGCAAACCCGGCACGCGGATATATTTTGGCCGAATTTTGTTATTCCCTCACGAATTTCAGAGCGAATTTAAGCTCTTTGATTTAAGCATCGTTGTTCTGAGAGTTATACGGTATCATTCTTGCAGGGGATATCGATTAATTGTGAAAGAAATGCATTAGCCTAAAATCGAAAAATCGAGGATAGTTTCGTTATATGCCAAGTCTGGGCTATTTTGGTCTCAATGTTTCCTTCCTTCCTTCCCCTTCCGCGGGCGCGGGCAAATCGAGCCTGGGCTTCCTGTGGTCATTCAATAGTTAAAAGCCTGATCTTTCCAAATATGATATACGCCGAGTAATTCATGTACAATAGCGCGCTGAAATTCGATTACCTTTCAGTTTTATACATGCACCCTTTATGATATTCCTACTGGCGTGCAGCACCATCCATAACGACTCGAGAGGTTTAATTGCATTCACACAATAATATACAGGGTGTCTCAAAAAGAACCAAAATCATTGAAATTGACGTATTGTTCGATATTCAATGCCCTAGCACTAAGTTAATCCCACGAGTGCATAAAAGATTGACATAACTGCTATAATGAATGGTAATACTCAGCGTAAACTTGATATGTCAGGCATAAAGTACTAAACCCACGAATTTACGAAGCATTTTTAAATTCCCATGAGCAAACAAACGTTCACTTTACAAAGATATTTTAATTTTTTAAAACAAATTAATCACCCTGTCAAAATCCTTTGTGTTACGGCATTGAAATTCGAACAATACGTTATTTCAATGATTTTGGGTTTTTTTTAGACACCCTGTACAGTATAATGACGTTTCTCTGTCGCATAATAATTTTTAGTTTATTTGCATGATAATCGAATTATTCTCAATTATCCGTTTCGGCTGTTTGAAAGTGCATATTTTATCGCATGGCTTAATTAAATAGGTTTGAATGTTTATTTTGTGGGAAGTGAATGTTTTCGCTGGTTTCATGCTTGTCTGATACACACTGGTTATCTTCGCTCGCTCGGACAAATTAAGGTATGAGATAAGTGCCATTTCAGCAGTGCAGAACGCTTTGTCCACGTCTTACAACAATTAATAAATCATTTCAATAATTAATACTAGCTAGCTATATAGTGTATAATTAAGTTTCAAATGACGCGAGCCAACAGATCACGACACTTTTGTATATAAAAAGGGCATTGAACAGTAAGTTACATATTATTAGCACTGATGAATATCCGGGCTTACGAATCGAAAGCTTTGCAGTGATAAATTTACGTGGTGTTTCCCCAAACAAAACTATTATAGTGTATAACTAGTCGTCGTAATATTATAAAGCCGGTTACAAACGAGCAAGTTTTCTAAGGATCAAGTTTTTATGTGACAAGTTTTATTGCCATGTGCACGTGTGTATATGCAACAAATTTTATATGACAAGTTTTCATATGACAAGTTTTATATACTGGTGTGAACGTGTCAGAAAAAGGTGTTTACAATTTTTTCTATGACAAGTGCACTTGTTCAAAAGCTAGAATGCTAGCTTTTGAGCAAGTGCACTTGTCATAGAAAAACTTGTCAAAATTGCACATGCAGACGAGCAAATAAAACTTGTCACATAAAACTTGTCATAGAAAACTTACTCGTCTGTACCCGGCTTAACGCCAAGTGACAGCAAGATATGCAAGTAGCCTATATACCAACAGTAGGAACGCGTCTAGATTTCCCGCAGCGTTTAATTGAACTAAAAGCAAGCATTTGACGAGAAGTAATGTTTTGAATGACTTTTCTATCGTCATCTGGAATCAGAGTCTCGATTTGAACTGAGATTCCGATTTGAGACTTCACGACCGTATTCTAAAAGCTCACTCGCACTCACACTCACACTCAATGAGTGGAGGTTCAATCTGAGCTTCTATTGAGTGTCAATGCTGTTTTTGAATAGCTGGAAGGTTAGTGTCGTACCTTACCATGTGATTACTCACCCTCCAGTTATCTAAAAACAGCAGTGTCACTCAATAGAAGCTCAGATTGAATCACCACTCATTGAGTGTCCGTGAGCTTTTAGAAATCGGGCGTTAGGCTTTGATGGCCATAGACGATCAGGGTCAGTTGGCGTCATGCATGTTTGATTTCTGTAATCACAGTGCAAAATCTGTAACAAACTGATCTGATTGGTAGAAAAACATTGTAATGATTAAATCGACAAATCAGTTTAAAGCAGATTAGTTTAAAGAAGTAACGGTCACAGAGATTGCTTCAAAACAAACAAACATGGAGCCGCGCTACAAGAAGTGAAAGTTGACTTCGGTTGAAAAATATGGCTTTTATCCTTTCTTTTAAATTGAAAAGCCTTTGCTTTAAACAAGACTAACAAAAACTTACATAGTTGAGTGAAATTTTCAAGCTGTTAGCGTTGTATTGTCGGTGATATAACAAAGCCAGAAAAACTTTGCTGGTGGAATGTTCGCTTTATTAAAAACGTAAGTTAAAACTACAATTGTCTCGAACATTTTTATGTAAATTATTAATAGGTAATAGCATGGTTTCTCGTGAAATTTGGATAAACATGCACTTGTAATTAGTTTTTCAAAGACCTCAAATAGCACTCGTCCGTCGGACTCGTGCTATTTTGAGGTCTTTGAAAAACTCACCCGTGCATGTCATTATTTCGTCAATTTAAATGAGGCACACAATATCGTAAACAGTATCGTAATAAGGTTTCGAACCTACGAACAAAATATGAATTTACATAAATAATTACCCCTAATCCCACATAACAACAGGCCAAATGACGCATTATTTAACGTACTTACACTATGGGCTCTCATAAGTCCAAGTCATGTATATATGTCTCGCCGGAGACAGCTTCCACAGTTCTCAACGGAGAATAAACCAGTCCAAACAGTTCTCAACGGAGATATAAATTTCAACCTACAAGCTAGCATGCATACCAAAACTAATTAATTATTCTAATGTTTTCTTTTGGCGGGAAAATCTATTCCCAGTCCCAAGTTCGCAATTACAAACTTATCTGATCAAAACACTCCGGGCAGCAAATTATTGCGAACCAAGGTAGTAGTCTCTTTCAAACGATTCGTTTGCCGCAACAATTACAACCAATCTTTGCACAGGCCTTTCGATTGTCGTATAAGCTTGTCCTTTGTATACCTTTGTCTCTTTCGTTGGCAAACACTTGTACTGTACTTCGACCCTGCGTACTCTTCCATCGTCTTCAACCAAGGCTTTCGATACGCGACCAACTTTCCATTGTCCACGAATACTGTTCGAGTCTTGAATCATAACAACGTCTCCGACACACACGTTTCGTTTATCAACATGCCATTTCTGTCGTATTAATAGGCTCGGGAAATAATCACGGATCCATCGTTTCCAGAACGCATTCACCAATCTTTGCACAAATTCAAAGCGCAACCTTTCGTTCTTCGTTTCCTTAAATGGTCCACTGGGTATTCTTGCCGACGCTCTACCGAGAAGCAAGTGATTCGGGCTAAGATATGTGTCGTCGCTGGGACTCGTCGGATGAATACCAATTGGCCGTTCGTTAACTAGGTTGGCGGCCTCAAAACAGACTGTCTGTAGCTCGGAAAACATCAATACCTGATCCCCAATCGCCCCTTTGATTGCGCCCTTCACAGACTTCACCAGTGCTTCGGAGCAACCATTTTGCCATGGAGCATCAGCAGCTGCAAACTTCCACTCTAACCCATGCTCAGCGCCAAACTCTCGAAGTCGTTCGTGATCAACACCTTCGATTATGGATTTTAA